GAGCCCGATGCGGGACTCGATCCAGGGACTCCAGGATCATGACCTGAGCCGAAGGCAGTCGCTTAACCAACTGAGCCACCCAGGCGCCCCTCATTGTTGGTTTTTTGTTTGTTTTTAAAATAATCTCTACCCCCAACATGGGGCTCAAACACCTGGCCCTGAGATCAAGAGTCACATGCTCTCCTGACTGAGCTAGCCAGGTGCCCCTCTTGTTATTGTTTAATTACTTTCATTATATATGTCCACTGAACTGAAATTGGACTCTATCAGGGCTCAGCTTGAATTTTTTTTTTTCTTGCCACCAATATTTGTCTGCAGAGCAACCCATAGGATAATTGCTTCTGCCAAGTTGTCCTGTTTCTTTTTCCAATTTATTCTGTCTAAAAAAATCAAATAAAAATAATTAGTACCTGGTAAACTATATGTCAATCATTGAATACTTCATTATTGGGATTAACAAAGCAGTACTGTTTTTATTTCACAGTCTTCTTTTAGCTTTGCAATTGTATTCCTCCTGCTCCCATTTTAATTCTTTTCTCCTCCCTCCATAACCTCACTTGCATGGACCTTGTCCCCTTGTTTTCTTCCCACGATTGTAAGTTTCCTAAATGTTTGTGAGGACTAGAAAGTGAAAGTCCTGGAATCTTTTGTTAATTCATGCATTTTCTGCATTAGCAAAGGAAATCTGGCCAGAGATTTTATTTCCACTTTTGTCTGTTAGCAATACCCCATTGCCCTTCTTTGAATTCTGTCTTAACTTTTTGTTCCAATTAAGTTTGAGACAGAATCTACTCCTTGACCTTTTGCCTACTCAGAAAGAAATACTTTTTTTTCATCAAGGAGGCACTTAGAACTTTCTTAGTACTAATGATCTTTAGTTTCTCAACAAATGTGTATTTTCTTTCCTCTTTTAACTCTCTCCTTGTCCATTTCCTTACCCTGTCTCACTTCTTCAATGAAAAATGTTATTTTATAAGAGGATCAGTTCTTAAAAGTAATGGCAAGTGTAAAATTAATCTACATCTGTTTTAAGGGGGTGGGAGGAATTTCTCTCCAAGTACGCTAAGTAGAATTTCTAAATGTTTGCTGGTGTTTTTCTGCTCTGACTTGTTGGTGTCTGTTCCTGAGGCTTATGCATGCAGATGGCATGGATGCACCTAGAAATAGTCATTCATGGGCTGCTGGCCCCAAAGGAAGCCTGGCTCTTGGGTGGCCCACCACACCAGGATTATCAGCCTACTCTTTTATTTATTTTTTTGTTTTGTTTTTAAAAGATTTTATTATTTATTTATTTGACAGAGAGAGACACAGCGAGAGAGGGAACACAAGCAGGGGGAGTGGGAGAGGCAGAAGGAGGCTCTCCACTGAGCAGGGAGCTCAATCCTAGGTCCCTGGAATCATGACCTGAGCCAAAGGCAGACGCTTAACGACTGAGCCACCCAGGTGCCCTAACCCACTCTTTTAGTGTCTTCACAGAAACTTGAGGGATAAAAGATCTCAAGGAATATGGAGAAGACTTGAACTTAAGATTCATTTATGGAGACACACTGCTTTCATAGGCTTAAGTTGCAAGTATTGATGTAACCTACTTTGCAGTATGGTATGGTCAAACAACAAGAGCATTGAATTTAAAGTTAAACCAAACTGGAACTGAGTTCTGGTTGTACTACTTACTAACCACACGTCCCTGCCCTTCAGGGAACAGAGTTTAGTGGAAAGATAGACATGGAGAGATTTTCCCAGGAAAGAAAAATACTGCTTTAACAAGAAACATGGATGCATGTGCAAAGGGCTATCAAAGTGTCCAGTACAGGTAGAAAAGCCTTCCCAGAAGAATTGGCAAGTGAACAGGGACTTGATGAGGTTGGGGTGGGAATGTGAATGGGAGGTGAGTGAGCTGGGACAGAGCATAAGCATGGCCATGGAGGCACATATGTTTATGGAACTCAAGATGATCAGTATTGTTGGAACATAAAGCCTGAGGAGGATGAAAAAAGTGGCTGGATAGGAACAGATAAATATCCCTCAGATTATGAAGAATTTGAATGATATGTATAAAGACAGACTTTCTCCATAGGCTCTGGGGAGCCACATTTAAGAAATTCACACCTGGAGGGCGCCTGGGTGGCTCAGTTGGTTAGGCGACTGCCTTCGGCTCAGGTCATGATCCTGGAGTCCCGGGATCGAGTCCCGCATCGGGCTCCC